TCAGTAAAACAGAAGATAACGAAGGTGAGAACACTGGAAAGTATCAGTAAAACAGAAGTTAACGAAGGTGAGAACACTGGAAAGTATCAGTAAAACAGAAGATCATGAGAGTGAGAACACTGGAAAGTACCAGTAAAAATAAGCAACGTTCTAGTTTAATATTTTAAGTAAAATATTGTTAACTATATTTCAGGTTTCACTTGACCATTCTCAGTTTGCCCCTAAAGAAGAAACGTCCATCTTTTGAAAGAGCTCAGGTTATAGAGTTTTTATTCATTTCTATGAGGTTTCACTTTCATAGACTAAAGTTAGATTCACTACACAAAAAGATAATTCAGAAACTTTTAGTATTCACTACAGACAATTTGTGATATAAGTGAATAAAACCATTATGTATGTGCATGCTGTATCTTTGAAGAACTCGTTTTCAGTACTGATCAGTCCATGTATATCATCCATACAGAATGTTACCCTATGTAGGGGAAAAAGCTTGTCTATTGTAGGCTTTCTTTATACATTAGTTGTTACAATTTAGAAAGAGTGATTGAGGATTGCCAATTTTTCAGTTCATTTATATTTTTCTCAAGTTGGAATATTACATAACAAGATGTCTTTATTAGTTAGCTTTCAAGTTCATGATACCTTTATAACTCACAACAATTACTCTTAATAAACAAATTATTCAATTCAACAAAATAAGTTTCAAACACATTTGGAAATATCAATTTCAAATAGCAAGTATGTTAAATATTTGTATATTATTTACATGAAAGAAAACAACATACACCAACAGCAATGAGAATGTTTGCAAGAGCTTGACCATAGGTATCATGGCAGTGAACAGCCACAGCTTCTGATGGCAGGTGTTTCAGCACTTCTTCTAACATCTTCTCCATGGATCCAGGAGTTCCGACTCCAATAGTGTCCCCAAGAGAAATCTCATAGCAGCCCATTTTATAGAGACGAGCAGCCACCTGCAAGATAGTAGAGTTCATGAAGGCATCTCCATGATACTCTTTAATACTTAATCAACAAATAACTCAGTTAATTAGTGAAACTGTGGAAGATCCAAACAATTAACTTTATTAGATACTACAGACATTTTTGTTTATCCTTTCTCTACAGCAGAAGCCAAAATACATGACCTTTTCTACAGCATTACATTCAAAATTGAACTTTATCAATTCATGTCAAAAACTTGACATCACAAAGTAGTTTATTATTTAAATTTTAATATGATGGAAGTTTAACATTTTAAATCTTCACTTCTCTGTACTACCTGATGGTTCTTCACTCTGAAGATTTTATTTCTACACATATAAGGTCTTTTGAATTATCTACAAATTTCACACTTATATTACAGATACTGTTAAACCACATTTAAGAGTCATAGCCACATTTTCTGGGTTACTGAAATATAAACAAGAAAGTCAAACCCACATGCAACATCCCTCTGATCTCATCCAGTCTTTCGAAAATGTCAATAATTCTCTCCGACATTTGTTACTGAATTATTTATAACCAGTAGAAAACACAGATTCATTAGAGGGTTAATTCACTTATATGTGAGGTTATGAAATATTTAGCCTCAAGTTCACTGTTTGTGATAGTCAGCTCAACCAATTAACAGAATGTTTTTAATCTTACTTAGAAAGCCAGTTGAATTATAGTACTTGTAAGACATTCTACTTTTTGTTCTAAATGGAATATCTAATAAATATTAAATATTTTGGACCATCAACATTGTTACAAAAACACAGTACTAAGCTTAATTTTTAGATTTCTTTTTTTATATGTATTGTTACAAAACTAACTAAGGTGTAAAAATTACACACTTATTACATCAGATAACATAAATAAAAAGGTAACTGTAACTCTAACAGTTTGATTATTCAGTTATAATAAATGACCCTGAAGGGTCTAAGTGCAGCTGTAAAGCAGTTTTAGTTGTAAGAATAAATAGTATGTCCCTTACAATATGCATTCATTTTAGAAAAAAAGAAAGGGGAATTCAGATTTATTTCCTGCATGTCATTTTACCACACAATGCAGATTTTTCTACAATGTTCGGATAGAGAAAATAACAGATAATATAAAGTATTACTGAAAAAATATTCTGATATTCATTTAAAGGTTCTAGAGGTTGCATATATAAAATATGAAACTATATTTTTATTGTTAACATCTTCACTCAAGACTAGTTAGACTGACTTCATATACAAATCTTTTGTAAAAATACTTTATTAAGAATTGATTTTTTTGTGTGTAAAACATATTTGTAATGTTTACCAAAATCTTGTCAAATTTTGTGAAGATACACTTAGTAAATTCCATATTAAAGTAAAATTATTTTAGGTATAGCTTCACAGAAATGGAGTTGGTACAAAGCACCAAAGCCATACAAAGAGTTAAACAGACCCACTAAACACTATTTTTCTTGGTTTATGGAAGAACCACACAATCAACTTACTGCTCTACAAAACCAAAAATATTTTCTTGAAACAAACTCATTACATAATTACAACCTTCTTGGTTGAGAGAACCATACAACTAGCTTTCTTTTCATACAACCAAGTATTTTCTTTACACAGATCCACAAAGAAAATACTTGGTTGTATGAAAAGAAAGCTAGTTGTGTGGTTCTACCAACCAAGAAGGTTGTGATTGTGTAGTGGATCTGTGTAAAGAAAATATTTGGTTGTATGAAAAGAAAGCTAGTTGTGTGGTTGTGTCAACCATGAAGGTTGTGATTGTGTAGTGGATCTGTGTAAAGAAAATACTTGGTTGTATGAAAAGAGAGCTAGTTGTGTGGTTGTGTCAACCAAGAAGGTTGTGATTGTGTAACACAGATCCACTACACAATCACAACCTTCTTAGCTGACAGCACCACTCAACCAACTTTCTTCTCCATACAACCAAATATGTAATTTTCATCTTAAAATTAAAAGAGGTCAAGTGGTCGGTCAAATTGACGGAACTCGTGTTGAGAGAGTTAATTTCTTACTTTTTCGAGAGGTGGTAGATAAAATTTGGATGATGACATGCTAAGAAAAAATGTGTCACATGGGTCACACTAGTGGAAATTCAGAATTTTTTAAATATTGCCTTGTAGAATTAAGAACTTAAAACTTGTATACTATTAAAATATGGGTTATTATCTAAGATTTTATGCTATTCTAATTTGTATAACATAAACAAAGAGTAGTTTAATAAAATTGTGAATGTAAAACACTAAAACCTTGTGTCATGTGCAGTAAAGGATACTCGTGGTGATAGTAAACCTTGTGTCATGTGCAGTAAAGGATAACGTAGCGATAGGATTAAACAGACCCACCAAACCATCACCACCTTCTTGGTTGATGAAAGAACCACACAAACAACTCCTCCATACAATCATCACCACCTTAATCCTTCAATTGAACAACCATACAATTATAAAACCAATACTCATCTTCTGTAAACCAGCTCTTAATCCATCAATTGAACAACCATACAATCATAAAACCAATATTCATCTTCTGTAAACAAACTATTAATCCTTCAATTGAACAACCATACAATCATAAAACAATACTCACCTTCTGTAAACAAGCTCTTAATCCTTCAATTGAACAACCATACAATCATAAAACCAATATTCATCTTCTGTAAACAATCTATTAATCCTTCAATTGAACAACCATACAATCATAAAACCAATACTCATCTTCTGTAAACAATCTCTTAATCCTTCAATTGAACAACCATACAATTATAAAACCAATACTCATCTTCTGTAAACAAGCTCTTAATCCATCAATTGAACAACCATACAATCATAAGACCAATATTCATCTTCTGTAAACAATCTATTAATCCTTCAATTGAACAACCATATATTTATAAAACCAATATTCATCTTCTGTAAACAAACTATTAATCCTTCAATTGAACAACCATACAATCATAAAACAATACTCATCTTCTGTAAACAAGATCTTAATCCATCAATTGAACAACCATACAATCATAAAACCAATAATCATATTCTGTAAACAATCTATTAATCCTTCAATTGAACAACCATACAATCATAAAACCAATACTCATCTTCTGTAAACAATCTCTTAATACTTCAATTGAACAAACATATAATAATAAAACCAATACTCATCTTCTGTAAACAATATCTTAATCCTTCAATTGAACAATCATATGTTTATAAAACCAATACTCATCTTGTGTAAACAATCTCTTAATCCTTCAATTGAACAACCATACAATTTAAAACCAATACTCATCTTCTGTAAACAATCTCTTAATCCTTCAATTGAACAGCCATATAATCATAAAACCAATACTCATCTTCTGTAAACAATCTCTTAATACTTCAATTGAACAAACATATAATCATAAAACCAATACTCATCTTCT